GACTGAGATTTAGAAATGTGTATCTCTATTCGAAATCACTCAATCAACCTAAATATCAGTACTTGCGAAGTGTTTTGGAACCTATAAAAGGATTAGGTTTTTATACATTCAGCAATAATGCAGAAATAGTGGAACCCTCCGATACTAAGCCTAATTCTGTTTTCATTTTCGATGATGTGATATGTGAAAAGCAGGATATTAGTAGATGAGATACAAGAGTTCTATGGCGTATTCCCTAGGGGACGTACTTACGGTAGTGAGTGGAAAAGAGACGTGTGCGACGTGATCGACGCTTAGAAGGATGGAATGAGCTTCGAGTAGATTCATTTGGTAGATAAGAGCGCGGTGGAATTACAAAAATAACATGTGTGTCATACAGGGTGTCTCATCGTTTAAGAAAAAACATGTACGGGGTGTTTCAAATACGTCAGCGCGGAAAATAATGATATAATAATAATAATGAACGAAAAATCGGATTGAAGAAAAACATGGCCACAGACATTAAAGAAAAAAACATGTCTGTCATACAGGGTGTCTCATCGTTTGAGAAATGTCTCAAATATGTCAGCGTGGAAAATAGTAGTATAATAATAATAATGAATGTAAATCGGATTGAAGAAAAAACATGGCCACGGGCGTTGAAGAAAAAAACATGGCTGCCTCATCGTTTAGGAAAAAAAACATGTACAGGGTGTACGTCGGTGCGAGAAATAATGGTATAATAATAATGAATGAAAAATCGGATTGAAGAAAAAAACATGACGTCAATATGTACAGGGTGTCTCAAAATACGTCATTTGAAATAAGTTTAAGGAGGCTCTATGGTTTTGACGTGTGATTCTTCAATATGTACAGGGTGTCTCATTTAGGAAAAAAACATGTCAGGTGGGGGGTCTAACGTACGTGTTTTTTTTTTCTCAACCGATGAGACACCCTGTACGCATTGAAGAATCACACGCCAAAACGATAGAGCCTCGTTAAACTGTCATGTTTTTAATGACACATTTTGAGACACTCTGTACACATTGACGTCATGTTATTTTCTTCAATCCGATTTTTGTTAATTATTATTATATCATCATTTTTCACGCTGACGTATTTGAGCCACCCCGTACATGTTTTTTTCTCAAACGATGAGACACCCTGTACACATTGAGGAATCACACGACAAAACGATAAAGCCTCGTTAAACTGTCATGTCTTTCAAATGACGTATTTTGAGACACCCTGTACACATTGACGTCATGTTTTTTCTTTAATCCGATTTTTCGTTAATTATTATTATTATATCATTATTTTCCACGCTGACGTATTTGAGTCATGTTTTTTTTCACAAACGATGAGACATCCTGTACACATTGAGGAATCACACGACAAAACGATAGAGCCTCGTTAAACTGTCATGTCTTTCAAATGACGTATTTTGAGACACCCTGAACACATTGACGTCATGTTATTTTCTTCAATACGATTTTTTTTTCATTATTATTATTATATTATCATTTTTCACGCTGACTTATTTGAGTCACCCCGTACATGTTTTTTTCTCAAACGATGAGACACTCTGTACACATTGAGGAATCACACGGCAAAACGATAGAGCCTCGGTAAACAGCCATGTTTTTAATGACGCATTTTGAGACACCCTGTACACA